GAAAGAGCAAAAGCAGTGCTGGGTTTCGTATCAGAAATAACACACATGGAGGCTCTGAGCAAACACTTGAAGTTGTCCTCAAAGGCAAACAGTTCAGTTTCTCATTGCATGTTCCCAGAAGAACTTGGTTAAGCATCTTCCCTTTCACAGGGGGGAGCTTTCAAAGGAGAGAATTTCAGGAACCCCACCAGCTAAGGCAGCAGCCACAGATGCTCAGAGGCAGTACCAGTACACTGCTGTAACCTTGTTTAGGGTTGCCTTAACTACCTGCAGACTAAAATACCTGAGCACCAGCATCCAGCTGCTTTTAACGTACTTGTCACTTCCTTTTTGTCAAAGAAGGATACTCAAATGCAGACAAGCAAGGTACTATAATAACTACTAGAAACACCTTTTTTGGACCGTTACTGGCAAACCACTCTGGGCAGAGTATGAGCAACACGGTTTTTTACTCTGTGAGGAAAAAGAAAAGAAGCGCAACGGCCACACATCAAGAAGAGCGACCTTCTAACCAGCCTCTGGCCAGCATCTCCCTCTCTCCCGCTGCGCTGGCACTGCCTCCACCCAGGTGGGAGTTCGAGACCTCTGCAGGCTGCACAACTCTCAAGGAGCAGGTTTTGTAACGAAACGATAGTAAGGGGGAAAGAACAGCAGGGGGAGCAGAGCGCAAGGTAAGACTGACTGCACAGTCCATAAGCAAACAGATTTTCTTCAAGGGTTGATACTTCAGGCAAATACAGTTTTTGTCTCTTAAATGAAGCAACTGTCTTGCAATTCAGGACCCTATGTGACATTTGCTTCACAAAAAACATTAGGTTAAAGTCAAAAGAACACATTAAGAATTTTAATCTGGTGTTTGGCTCACATGTCATAGGAGTTTACTATCCTAGCTCTAAAGTCCTAAGAAAAGAAAGGTTCATGAAGGACAATGAAGGTAAGACTCCATTTCAACACTGAGTGTGTTACTGATTTCTCCTACTTGTAATTAAACTACTAGTTTTTAAAGTTTCTCCTTTAAAAACTTCACATTAGATTCACAGAAGAGAAGCTTTTCAGTCCTGGTTCTCTACCATGCTTAGCATGACCCAGGGGTGAGCACAGACTACCTCCAGCACGCAGCAAGTGTCAGTGTTACACAGCAGCCAACCAAACAGGGTGCACATGAAAATGCTAATTCTCTCTGAGCAATGGAACACAATCCATCCAAGCCACTTCCTCATGGCAGTATCTGCTAAGCAAACACTAATTCCTCAGATACTTAACAGTTACTTTGACAGAGGCTGATTAGGGATTGTGTGTTTCACACCTGTCAATTGGCAAAAGTTATTATTTAATTTTATAATTATTTGTGATGATAATTCTTTTTAGAACTATCATTAACTTTTAATACTCTATTTCATATAGGAAAGCAGCCTAAAAACAATTTTTTAAGTTATCTATAAAAACAAGGGCCCTTCTTTCATGTAAAAAAATCTCTCAACTTTGTCCTCTAACAAGACTGATCTCTCTCAGTTGTTAGTGAAAGTTAAATATGCCCAGGGCCTTGAGGTGATAGTATTATTATGGCGAGCTTGTTTCACAAGTCAAGCATCAAAGGCCACCCTCACCTGATGCTTGGCCATCTCCATTCCCTCCAAAACCACCGTCTTAAAGTCCTCCTGTTTGTCCTGTGGAAGGAAAGAGGAGAACTTTCAGACTGCATTTCATATATCAAAATAACACTTTGCCATGAAGGCCGTGCAGTTGCTTGGTTGGGTGCTGTGCTTCACCTGGAAAAATCACCCACCCCAATGAGTCCATGGGTCCAGAAATGGCAGACTCGAGCTAGTGAGGCCAAGGCCCTCTTAGACAATAACAGCACTGCCAGTTTGTTCTTCTGTTTATTGCCGGTAGTGCCGAATGAGGTTTTAAAGCACATTTCCTTCAGACAACAGACCTTGAGCAACACCATACTACAGGAATCTGCACGTTAGTTATAGACTGCACTGATGGAAAATTAAGATCCACTGGTACATTCTGCTCAGAAACAGTCATTTTCTAAGAAAAACTTGCAGCTATATGCAACAGTATTCTCTGCACAAAGAAGAAATGGCCTGGAAGGTAGTATTCATTATTAACCTTTCTCTCATCATCATACCCCAGCTATGGTTCACAGTGTGCAACTGCTGCAATGACTAGGGGGTTCCAGAAATTCCAGGAAGACTTCCAGACTCTTGAAGCATGCTGTGGAAGTCCTGACTTCAGGCATCTATCTCAACATACACTACTTACCAGCATGTGTATTTTATACATTGTCTGTAATTTATAATTTATGCAGCGAGATTATTTGGAGTGTGACAACTTTGTAACAGGTCTAGCACACCACACCGGGTGAGAGACTATGCCTGATTAGTGGTCAGCTAGAACTGATTATTCCTTTATATATGTGAGAAGAGAAATTTAAGTCTCATCTTCATGGGTCAAAACCAACAAAATTAAGAATGCAGATATGCTTCAGATACT